GAACACAGATGTATAAAATGTGTTTGTGTTTGTATAAAGTGAGAGGAAATTGTATAAATACATATATTTTTGGTTAGCTTTTGCCTTTCTCTCTTTCTTGTTTTATACAAATTGAAATTGTATATAGTTTCTCGCTTATCCGTTTTATACAATTCGATTCAATTGTATATTTTCTGCCCAAATCTCTTTTGTCTCTCTCTTCCTCATTTTATACAAATTCAAATTGCATATAACCGTTATATACACTTATAATTACACATACAATTCATCTTATACATTCGTTTTATACAATTCTCTGCCCGAGTCTCTTTCTCTTTCTCGTTTTATACACTTCATTTTATATAATTCGCTTTAATTGTATATGTATAGCGAATTATACATTTATATGTTTGCTATGGAGTGCAATTATGCAAACTTTGTTATAGCATATAAATATGAATTTTATGTTTGCTATATGTGAAAGTTGCCCTTCTTTGTTTTGGTCCTTAATATATTCTACTTGATTGATATAATCCAATGACAAAAAGTGTTCATTTTAGTCTTTTGCCCTAATCCTAACGAATCTATTTTTTAAAAAAGTGCTAAATTTTACTATAGACCCTACATAACAAACAAAATTTAGCATTGTTATCTTTTTTGTTAGTTCTAAAGAAAAAACTCCATAAAATCTAACAAAATTTACTCTTTTTTCTTTTCTATAATATTATTCTAATGACTTAATATCCATTTTTATTTTAAGCAAGAGAAATTATAATTTTTTTAGAGAAATTATAGAAAATTATGTTAGATTTTATTAAGTCTTTTTTTTAGCAAAACAAAAAATGCAGTAATGATAAATTTTTTGTTAGCCATGTAAGTCTACAATAAAATTTAATATACTTTTTAAAAATAGATAAATTTGTTAGGTTTAAGATAAAAGATAAAAATGAAATTTATTTCTCTTATATTAATAAGGATTAAAAGTGAAATACGTTAAGAATCAAAATAAAAACATTACATATATATTAAAGACTATCTCAGTCATTTTCTCAACTTTTCACTATTAAAATTATTTTATATACTTATTTTTTGATATGCTTTAATTTATTAAATTGAGTGTCTTAGGAGAACAATCCCATTACCTTTTCTACAATGTATATGAATTATTATAAAGTTTATGCATATACTACCTTTAGTATTTATTTGGTCAACATATATACTATGTATCAAAATAAAAAAAATACTATCATCATCACAATAGTTGACCTTCATAGTGATCCATATTAATTTGGTCATTACTGCAAACAGACCATACATAGTGCAGGGGCAATATATATATAATCATACTATAAAATGCTGTATTAAAATAATTCATAAATTTTTTTATGTTAATTGCTAAATGAAATTAAGCAAATACCTCATAAAAATAAATTAATTATAAATATATATCTTTTTATATTCATATTCTATTAAATAATTATATTATATATCCCTCAATTAATATAATTTTACTTAACTAAGAGTGTGATATCAAATTAATGTCATACTATTGACGTTTCTGCATATGCATGTATAGCCGTGTAGCTATTATTTTTAATATTTCTTGTTATCTATTATTCATGTGTTTTTTCTTTGAATGTTGTCTTTTGCAATTGGTTTTAGGGAAAATGGTAAAAAAAGAATATTAATGTACTATCCATAAGTAAATTTGTCAATTTCTTTTGTAATTTTTTTACGTAGTAATATGTAATTGAAGATATGATATTTAAGTCTGATTCGATTTTAAAATTAGTTTGTGTCATATAAGTAGATTATTAGGGTATTTTTCGATCAATTTGAGACTCTCACTCACTCTAATATAATGTTATGATCATTGTGAAAATTAAAAGTCTAATTTTTATACACTTCTCGACCCCCAAAATTTTAATCCAAGGCAACAAAATCATAGTCGAAAGTAATTAAAGAGTTTTACCTTTTCTTCTTGGAGAAACTAGGGACGTAGAATTCACTAATTTTAAGTTAAAGTTTGCAATAAAGGCAACGATAAATATAAGATGGTTTGTTACAAATAGAAGTGTTAATAAACCATAAGTGAACTTTTATTGATTCCAACTTTAGAATTTTCAAATAAAACAAAATTTTTAAATTTTATTTTCATAGACAAACGGCCAATTAAATTTTTTTAATGACAATAATTATACTATCAAAGTCAATTTTAAAATTTTTAAATTTTTCTTTAACATTAACATGATGAACCTCACATTTTTTTTAATTATTTAAAAGAAAGGTAGACCATTTCTCTAAAAAAGCAAAGTAGGGAAACGGTCACTCTTTAATAAAGTACTTGGGACACAAATGTTGACATTTTAACTAATGCTCAGAAATTATTTTTATATTTGAAAGCCATACTATAGTCTATATTATATATATTTTGCTTTTTTCCTCAAAGTTTGGAGAAACAAATATCAAAATAGGAAAAGCAAAGATAAAGGGATTGGCTACACAAGTATGTACCTTGACTTGGATTTGAGTTTTATGAAAAAATATTTGATGGAAAGTGATATCTCAAACAAGTTTCTAGGAAATTTGAATTAATCAAATTTAAATACGAATATTGAGTATTAGATAAAAAAAGAAGAAGCAATATGTATGCTATTTTCTTCTTTTCTTTGTCTTTTGGGGTGAGGTTAATTTTCGATACCATGCACAAATCATTATATTATTAAATAACAAGTTTTTTATTTTTATTTTATTTTTATAAAATACTCGCGTGTTTGAAAGTCTTTGATGACTCTATAAATTAAGATTTTATCATGATTGCAATTTTAGAGCGACGCGAAAACAAAAGTTTATAAGTATATGATATTATTTTTGTAGCTGAATAATCATTAAAGAAAATTGTCTTTATATTTGGCGGTGATATTTTCAATTCTTCCTACTTTATTGACGACAATTTATGTTTTTATTAGGCGTAATATACATATAGACATCTTAATTTGACCTCATGAATTATGACAACTAAATACTCAAACTTTGAAGATATATATCTAGACACTTCGATTTGTCTTCATCATGTCAGTTAAACACTTTAAATTTATATAAAATGATTCTATAAACACTTTTAAAAGTTTACATACTATGTTAATATCAATTACTCACGAGATACTATCAAAATAAATTGAAACCTCTCAATTTATTTTTAAAGTTAAAGTATTTAGTCACTAGGTCAAGGGCCGGACATGAAATTCCTATGTAAACATAAAATAAATAAAAGAAGAAACATATGATCCAAAAAAGAACATCAATTGCATTGAGAAAAGGACATGAAATTTAATAGTGCAACCTTATAAAATGACAGCATCTTTTTTGTAGTTATCATAAATCAAATAATTAAGATGTTGCCAACCATGACCAAAAATAAAATAAAAGTGGGCATCATCTCATTGTCTTTCATGTTCCTATTTTTAACTATGATAATGACTTCAATGGTTGTCATTTGCCCTTTTCTCGAACCCTTGTATGAAGTAAATTCAGAATTTAAATGTGATACATTCTAAATGTAAATTAAATGATTTTGGAATAAAGGATATATATTGTTGATTAGATATAACATATTTATCGTAATATATTTAAAAATCTTAATGAAGAAATTCAAGAAAATATATGTCTTAATTCTTGAAATTTTATTTTTCAAAATATGTCAATAAATATGGTAAATTGTTCATGTGGCTAAAAACATAAATATTTTATCGTGCAAGCATTCTATTAAGAGCTTGGTATACAAATCGCTAGAAAAAACCTCACCCTTTTCTTACCTATATAAACCAAACGAAAGAACAGTAAAAAAAAAAGTCATATCAATTTGTTTCGATTCTCAGGGTAATGAATAAAATGATGATGGGAATTTGAATATTCTTTCAATGAAACCTTCGAAGAAAGACAGGTTTTTAATAAATTCAACTTGTTTATTTGATTGAAATGATGACATTTGTTCATATTATTACATGACACTTGGAGTTGAAAATTAGAGAATTAATTGATTGACCACTTTGAATAAAAGTAGAATCTTCAAAGAATAACAGCACTACTTGAATAATTCATTGGGAGACTATGTCAATTTTAATCTCAATTATCACAACATTATAAAACTTAGTTAGGAATATAAAGATAAATTTAAAAAAATAACTTGTATGCTTAATGATTAAACTTAGTTAACATTTCCTCGAGGTAAAGCTTGAGAATGGAAAAAATAGATATGCATTTTATATTTATTAATAATTCACCATATAAATCTAAATTAATCGAATCAACCTATATTAAACGCGGTAATAAAAAAAAATGGTAATATAATAACTACTACTGATTTGAACCAAAAAAAATTTGTATTACATACTGAATTGGCAACTTTAACCTCAATTAGTTCCAAACCAATAAAATTATTATTTTCATATTCTAAAATAATAGTATAATTGAACTAGAATAAGATAAAAATATCAAGACGGATCTGTAATGTGTCAATTTAATTAATTTTTAAAGAGGAAAAATGGATTAATTTATATTATTTTCAGATCAGAAAAAAAGCTCCAAACACCAAGAGGAATCTGTACTATTATTGATTAATTATTAATTTATGGGATAAGTAAAACTAATAGTATTTTAAATTCTCAGATCTCTAAAATGCTTAAATTCACATTCTATCTCAAAAATAGGAAAATTAATCATTTTATATAATAAATATTAATTTCAGTTTTATAGTAATATTAGTCTAAAAATAATATAGAAATAAATTTTCTGGTCAAATCAAATTCAGTTTTGCCAAAATTTAAAAATATGCTAAAAATTATAGTTTTATATTTTGGGAATAATTAAAAGGAGGCGCAGACAGAAAGTAAAAATGCAACTCTTTGCTTAGTCTATGTTTTACTTAATAGTGCAAAAGATCCAAACTTTTTCCATTGCTTACCAAATTTTCTCATTTTTTTTTATGTATTTATATATACACATTCATGATTCAACCATTTACATATAATTTGCATTTTGGCTAAAAGCTTTGCTAGGCTGCAGCCTCTGTTCTTGTTTCTCTTTTTGGCGCTTCTTTTTTGGGATTCATTCGCAAGGAAGGAAGTATGTATACTTTGTTGTTCTGTTTTTTGGATTTGAATTGTGGGTTTCTTTCCTTTTTGTGTTTTATTTGTTGGTTTGTGATTTCTTGGATGTTGGATTTTGTGTATGGGTTTGGGAGGGGTTGATTTTCTTGAAGTTTGGATTTTTGGGGGTTTTGGTTAGTTTATGATTAGTTGGATGTTTAGTTTGAGGTGTTCTCATTTGTTGGCTTTTGATTTTCTTGAAGTTTGGATTTTTGGGGGTTTTCCCTCTTCAATGGTTAGTTTATGATTAGTTGGATGTTGAGTTTGAGGTGTTCTCATTAGTTGGCTTTTGATTTTCTTGAAGTTTGGATTTGTAGGTTTTTTCTCCATTTACGACTAGGGAAGTTTATGAGTAGTGGGATGTTGGGTTTGTGGGGGATTCTCATTAGTTGGTTTTTTTTATTTTCTTGAAATTTGAATCTTTGAGCTTTTTTCTTTTGTGATTTCATGGATTTTGGTATTATGTGGTTCTTTCTTTTTGGTGGTTTTTTTTTCAATAGTTAGTTTTTGATTTACTTGGAATTTAGATTCTTCAGTTACTATCTTTTAGCATTTGATTCTTGGATTTGGAATGGATTCTTCAGGAATTTGTGTTATGTGATATATAGGAGTATTGAAGTGTTTGTTTTAGTGAAGATCTCTTATGTTTGATTGATTTTGCTATGTTAAGTGTTGGATTGGGATGTATCTGTTGAAGAAATGTAATGAAGTGTATGAATCCTTGTGTATTTCACTGGAGATTTCATACTGGCAGTTGATTTCTGATTTTAAGCTCTTTTTTTTTATAGCTCCTCTAATGTGCCATAACAACAAACTTTCTGATCTGTAATTCATACCATCATTTCGCAAACGTGTGTGCGAGATGATCAGCTAATGACGAGTTTCACCCTTTACCTAACGTGGAGTATATTCAAATTTGTATCTGGATTTTCTTGTGGATTCAATTAAGCTTCATGTATCCATATCTCCAATAATTGATCGTATTTCCTCTCATAATGAATTTCTCTCCAGAATTATTTTTCATGCATAAGCATTTCATTGGATCTACAGCTGTGGTAAATGTAATATCTTATAGATCGTTATTTTGTTTTGTCTAAGTTATCTCATCTTGATTTTTGCTTGTCAAAATTATGGGTTTGACTATAGTTCGTTGTAAGGACGTACCCAATTTTGTGTATCATGGATGGACTATTAAATTTTATGGTGGTTGGGATTTCATCAAGAGACAAATATATACTTCCCTTTATGAATAATTTTTAAACTAAACTTGTCTCTTTTAACATAAATTGCGGAAGGGATAAACAAGTGTCATCATTTTCTGAAAGTTTACTACTTTTGGCACATTGCAGTGTAGCTTTGAAAATTGATCTAGCAATATTCCCCGCTTTCTCATTTGTGATCGTTTGTCTTTTCATCTAGTGATGTAAACATAGCTGTGAATATGGGTTTGATGAGTTCTCCTTGTTTTTTCTCTTTGTTTCCCTTAGCTATCCCTCCTGTAATTGACATCCTTTATTAATTATGAAACATTAAAATCTTCTTGGTTAGCCAATATAATCACTAGAAAGGATCATAAGTTTTGTACAAGGATCATAACTCGTGGTTCTGTTACATTCTGTTTGAACTTTTTGTTCATTTATTTGATATGTTTTTTGCAGAGGAAGCTTGATTCTTGGTGATCATTCTGAAGGGCAAACATCACAATTTTTCTATGTTTTAGATGCGGCCAAAGAAAATGTCCATGGCTGTCAAGGATGAGAAGAAAATGGTTGTTGATGTGGCAGCATGGGCATTCAATATTGTCACTTCAGTTGGAATTATTATTGTTAATAAAGCCTTAATGGCTACATATGGTTTCAGCTTTGGTAAGTGATGGTGCTTGTCCTGAAGGTTTATATTTTCCATTTTTTTTGGGATGTTATCTTGCTGAATTTACTATCTATTGCATCTACTCGTGTTAAATGGTTTTCGGTGCATGTTTTGTTTGTGTATGTTTCAATGAGGATCAAATTTTTGCTTCTACTATCATGGGTTTGAAGTCTGAGCACTTTGAATGAAATCTTATAGAAATAGATGATTTCAAAGATATCTTATTCATCTTGCTTCTAAGGCAAATCTATGCATAAAGTAGGCTGCTTTTCTGGAAACTGTGGACGCATTAACTTTTTTGAGACCAAGCAAATGTATAAGCCGTTTAAGTGGACTATTTTAAATGAATTTTCTCATTCTAGTCCCCGAAAGAAGCTGCCATTTTGCCTCCCTGTACTTCAATATCTAGTTTTAAAGATTTGGTGTTAATGGATTAAGATAAGTCTTTGAGCTTGCCTTAAGAGCATAGTTTTTTCTTCTTTAAAAAACATAGTTTCTTGCTAATCATTTGTAAGCTTTTAGAATGAAATAGCTTGATAGTTCTTATGTTATCCTGACTTTGTCTTATTATTCCGTCCAATTTGCAGCGACAACCTTAACTGGGATGCATTTTGCTACGACGACATTAATGGTGTTTTTTCTTAAATGGCTTGGGCATATCCAGAATTCCCAACTCCCGTGGTCTGAACGATTGAAATTTGTTTTGTTTGCAAACTTCTCTATTGTTGGAATGAACGTGAGTTTAATGTGGAACTCTGTTGGGTTTTATCAGGTAAGTGTGAAGAATCATCAGATATTTATGCTCTACTTGTCTGGAATTTTGATCTCACATCTCATTTCCTCTTGAAAACTCTCATCAGATTGCAAAGCTAAGTATGATACCAGTGTCGTGCTTTTTGGAAATTGTGCTGGATAATGTGCGATACTCGAGAGACACCAAATTAAGCATTTTGTTAGTCCTACTAGGTGTTGCAATCTGTACTGTTACTGATGTAAGTGTAAATACAAAGGGTTTTATTGCTGCCTTCATCGCGGTCTGGAGCACTGCCCTGCAGCAATATGTAAGTTGTTGATACGAATCGGTGGTATGAATTTGCATATGTCAACATATAGAAGCAGATTTTCTGATGTATCTGCAACCTGCTTTTGTATATCTGGTCTTAGTCAATTGCATTTACTGTCAAGTTTAATGTTTTAATTTTCTATATGTTCCACTGACTTATTATTGTGGCTGATGTATCTTCCTTCGGATGCAGTATGTACATCATCTTCAGCGTAAATATTCATTGGGATCATTCAACCTGTTGGCACATACTGCACCAATACAGGCTACATCCCTGCTGTTACTGGGACCCTTTTGTGACTACTGGTTGACTGATAAGAGGGTCGACGCCTATAACTATACCTCAATATCACTAGTAAGTACATCAAATTCCTCTTTATTTAAGCATATAAAGGTTCTTTGATGTTAATAGTTAATTCGGATGTTTGTGGTTGCAGTTTTTCATCATCCTGTCATGTACGATAGCAATAGGGACTAATCTGAGCCAATTCATCTGCATTGGAAGATTTACAGCAGTGACCTTTCAAGTGCTTGGTCATATGAAGACCATTCTTGTCCTGATTTTGGGTTTCCTCTTCTTTGGTAAAGAGGGACTGAATGTACACGTTGTGTTTGGAATGGGCGTGGCCATCATTGGCATGATTTGGTACGGTAACGCCTCCTCACAACCAGGTGGGAAAGAGCGGATACCACCCCCCACTGTCGTCAAACCTGAAAAACACATGTTGCTACCAACAGAGCTCGACGAGAAAGTATAGGGAGTCAGTCATCTCTCCGAGTAATTCATACTGCCATCATAGACTCATTTTTATATTTCACAGTCTAAATCTTTTACAGTCTTTCCCTAATTTTATGTTGAGATTCATATGTTAAACATTGCAAAGAGAGTGATAAATTATTTTATGAAGCAATGTAGCTTTGATCTTCCCTCTTGTTCATTTTTATATTTAGTCATTTCAATTAAGTAGGGTAAAAGATCACAAAGTGGTGGGATGCAAAAGTGGAAGCTAATAATCATACGACAAAAGAATATATTACAAGAAATGAATATTGTAATATATTTTAGCCAGTTGGTCTACATGTGAAAAACCACAATATGTGAAACCAGAAAGGGTCTTCATTCCTTTAAGAAAGTAATAATCAAATATAAAAGAGATAAAAAAATTTCTTTGATTGTGTCTTCTTTACCTTCTAATCCACCTCATCCTTACTTTTACTGCTTATAATATTTATGTACATTATATATAAATAATTTAAAATTATTATAAAGACAGTTCATAATAATATAATGTAATAATAAGAAGAAGACAAGAAGCATAAGATGAAGAAGAGAATTTTTCTTATTCAAGTATGTCTTCCAAATGGTGGGTGATTCTCTATTTATAGTGTTGGAATATCACTCCAAAAATCATCTATCAATAGATACATAGTTATCTTGGAAGTTCTTATCACCTTGGAAGCACCTATACATGAATCGGTAAATAGTTGGATAAATTTAATGGATAATCCACATATAATATACAATGAATTTATAACACTCCCCCTTGGATATCCATAAATTATGTGCCTCGTTAAAACTTTACTAGGAAAAATCTAGTGAGAAAAAGCCTAGTGGAGGAAAAAAAGTACAAGCATCTCATAATACACTTTGAATGTTGCCTCACTAAAAAACTTACTAGGAAAATCCAACTTGGGACAAAATCATAGTTAAGGAAAAGAGTACAATGCGTATTTCACTCCCCCTGATGAAAACTTTACTTGATATCTTGGAGACGACGCATTCCAATCTTGTATCTCAATTTCTCAAGCGTTGATGTTGGCAATGCCTTAGTGAATAAATCAACAAGATTATCACTTGAACAGATTTGTTGAAACTTCTATCTGACCATTTTGTTGAAAATCATGTGTGAAAAAGAACTTTGGTGAAATATGCTCTATCCAATCTCCTTTGATGTATCCTCCTTTCAACTGAGCTATACATGCAGCGTTATCTTCGTACATTGTGGTTGATATATTATTTTTCAAAGAAAAATCACACATTTCTTGAATATGGTGGGTCATTGATCTCAACCAGACGCACTCGCTCGACTTGTTTCATGGATGACTATTATTTCTGCATGATTTGAAGAAGTAGCTACCAATGTTTGCTTCATTGATCGCCAAGATATTGTCGTGTCTCTAGATATAAACAAATAGCCTGTTTATGATCGAGCTTTATGCGGATAAGATAAATACCCTATATCTGCGTAACGAATCAGTTCCGACTTGAATTCTTTGGAATAAAATAAACCCATGTTCATGGTCCCCTGAAGATATCGAAGTATGTGTTTTACACCATTTGTAAACTTACTGCAAGACAGATATCTGGTCGAGTATTGTTAACAAGGTACATTAGTCCCCCGACTGCACTAAGGTAAGGAGTTTCATCACCAAGAAGCTCCACATTCTTCTCTTGAGGTCGAAATGAATCTGTATTGACGTCAAGCAATCTTACCATCATTGGAGTACTCAATGGATCTTTTCTGTATGTTGATTGATGAACAAGTATTTCATTTGACAAATTCTCAATCTGTAGATCAAGACAAAATTTTGTCTTGCTGAGATCTTTCATTTCAAATTCTCTCTTCAGAAATTTTGTCTTGCTGAGATCTTTCATTTCAAATTCTCTCTTCAGACACTCAACAACTTCTAAAAGCTCTTTACGAGTGTTAATGATATCCAAATCATCAACATACACGACTATTATAACAAATTCAGATTTCGATCGTTTAATGAAAATGCAAGGACAAATCGGGTCATTTTTGTACCCTTTCCTTAACAAATATTCACTCAGACGATCGCACCACATCCTCCCTGATTATTTCAATCCATACAGAGATTTCTGAAGCTTTATTGAATAAGTCTCTCTTGAATGTTTGTATGCTTCAGGCATTTTGAATGCCTCAGGAAAATTCATGAAAATGTCGTGGTCCAACGAGTCATATAGATAGGTTGTGACAACGTCCATTAGACGCATTTCAAGTTTTTCATAAATTGCCAGATTTATGAGATAGTTGAAGGTGATTGCATCTACAACAGGAGAATATGTCTCCATATAATCAACGTCAGGTCTTTGAGAAAAACTTTGAGCAACGAGTCGGACTTTATATCTCAAGACTTCACCTTTCTCATTTTTTTTGTAGAAAAATACATTTGTACCCCACTAGCTTGATACCTTTGGGTGTTCGGATTATTGATCCAAAAAATTCACATTTTTCTAGTGAAGTCAATTCTGCTTGAATTGTATCCTTCCATTTTGGTCAATCATTTCTCTGTCTACATTCGTGAACAGATTTTGGCTCAAAATCTTCATCTTGTTGCATCATGTCAATAGCAACATTATAGGCAAATATGTTGTCAATCACAACATTTTTTTGGTTCCATATCTTTCTCATCGAGACATAATTCATTGAAATTTCATTGTTTTTAGAAGTTTGAATCTCCTCTGATATTTCATCATGTGTTTTGACTTGGATTTCCTTTTGAGAAATTTCTTTCAACCCATGATCATCTTGATCATTTATTTCTTTTTTCTTTCGAGGATTTTTATTTTTAGAATCAATTGGTCTACCATGCTTCAAATGTGGTTTAGACTCATTTACCTTAACATTTTTTTCGTTGGGATATAAACTCGAACTGGAGCATTAGCAGCTGAAATATGCGATTTAGTATCTTTGAAAGATTAGTAAATGCATCTGACACCTAATTCGTAATGTTCTGCAAATAAATTATTTTTTAAACTTCTTGGTCACATTGATTTGTTCGAGGATCCAGATGATATAGAGATGATAAATTTCAATCTATCTCTTTTCCCAACTACTTATGTTCTCCCCTAATGTTGGTTATACTGATTCATCAAAATGACAACCATCAAATCTTGCCTTAAATAAATCTCCAATCATAGGCTCCAAATATTTTATGATAAGGAGATTCATACCCAACACATATCCCCAACCTTCTTTGGGGCCCCATCTTTGTGCGTTGTGGTGGAGCAATCGGAACATATACCGCACATCCAAAAATTTTAAGATGGGAAATGTTTGGCTCAAAAATCAATTGTAATGGTGAGAATTCATGATAATTGGTCGGCCTTATGCGCACAAGTGCTGCCGCATGCAAAATAGCATGCCCCTACATAGACATAAATAACATTGTTCTCATTAGCAATGGTCTAGTTATCAATTGCAGATGTTTAATCAATGATTCTACTAGACCATTGTGAGTGTGAACATGCGCAACTGGATCTTCAACTGTTATACCAGTAGACATACAATAATCATTAAATTCCTGAGATGTAAACTCACCAGCATTATCTTAGACGAATTGTCTTTATTGTATAGTCCGAATATTGTTCTTTTAATTTTATTATTTTAGCCAATAATCTCGCAAAAGCCATGTTGAGAGTTGATAATAAGAACACATGTGACCATCTTGTAAAAGCATCTATCAAGACCATATAATATTTAAAGGGTCCACATGCAGGCTGAATTGGTCCACATATATCACCGTGTATACTTTCTTGAAACGCAGGGGATTCAATTCCAACCTTAACCGTTTGTGGTATAATGATCAACTTTTCTTGAGAACGAGCAGCACTAGAGAATTTCTTTGATTGAAGGATATTTGGGCTCTTTAAGGTGTTCCAATGTGAATTATCAATTATTTAGCGCATCATATTAAATCCGAGATGACCCAACCGGTCATGCCAAATGATAAAATCATTAAAATTAGTAAACCTTTTGTTTACTACGGCATGTGATTCGACTATACTTATACTTGTATAGTACAACCCAGAAGAAAGTGCACGTAATTTTTCATGCACAATGTTCTTCTCTACATTAATTGTACTAATATAAAGATATTCAACCTTTCCTTCATTAGCCATCTCAACTTGATAGCCATTTTGGCGAATAACTTTGAAACTTAATAAGTTTCTTTGAGACTTACTACAATATAATGCATTATCAATGATCAATATTGTCCCTCCAGGTAGTAATAAGGTCGCTCTTCCAGAGCCCTCAATTAATTTTGTACTACTTGATATTGTGTTGACATATGCCATTTTCATAACTAAATTAGAAAAGTATTTCTTTTCTTTTAATATTGTATGCGTTGTAGCACTATCAAGAAGACACACATCTCCATTACTCATCTTGAGTTCCAATTGACAACTGGAAATTTCTGTTAATTTTCATTTAAATAAAAATACATCAAAAGAAGTACGAAACAAAACTAACAACGGAAATATAAATACTTCAACATGAAGAACATGATAACTAAAAAATACATAAGTAAAATATTAAGTAAAATAATAACAGACTTCATACCCAGTTAAAAGATCAAACGTTAGTCTCGATCTCCAAAGAAGTCATCAACTTCCATATGAGTAATGTCACCAAGACATTAAAAAACATCATCCTTTAAAGTCAAATTTGTTTCAACATCTTTATCATATTTCTGAGATATTCTTGTCTTACTGTCACGACCCAAAACATGTCGTGAGTGGCACCCACATTTATCCTCCTATGTAAGCGAACCAACAAATCTAAACCCCAACATTTTAACCATAATAAACAGAATACAATGCGGAAGACTTAAAACTCATTAACGAAATCAATAAATAACTTCTAAAACTCAATACTAAGTCATCATCACAAGAACATCTATCCTCAAGTTACTAATTCTAAGAGTATCTAGAAAGCTAGAATAGATAAAAAGCTAGTCCATGCCGGAACTTCAAGGCATCAAGACATGAAGAAGAAGATCCAGTCCAAGGTAGAATCGTTAGCTCACCCTGAAATCCAGTGTAATGAAAACTGGCTAGAGTTGCGGTTGAGTTGAAGACGACGGTACATTTGTTGTACTCCACAAATAACAAATAAAGAAAC